ACACATATCCTTGAGACGCTATGTGAGGATCTGAGTACTAGGCGGAGCAAGAGACAGAGCTTGGCAAAGGCATTGATGAACATGGTGGCCAGAGCTTGGCTAAACTGGATATGCAACATATTGATGCCAACAACTCACAAGACCGTTATGATATGGGAGCTAGTGTATCTAATATATGCTTTGATGACACATGACTTGTGTGAACATTGGATAGATGCTGAGGAGTCAAATGGCCAGGTTGTACAAGAACATGCAGTGGGGATTCTACTTTATACACACCTTGACTGCGTTGCTGGAGAGGTAAAAACTATATGAGAACACTACTAGAAATAAGGCCTATGGCAACGAAAATTTATACAACGTTAACAGAACCGTTGCCATACAGTATGTATCGCAACGGTCTTAACCGTTGCCAAAAGGTCTGGAGGATTTGGTTACATTATACTAATCAAACCGTTGCCATTGTGCAGGAACCGTTGCCATATATTGTACTATAGCAACGGTTGTCACAAACGTTGCAATAGTTATATCTATTGGTACGATATTGGGGAAAAATTACCTATGGGGACGGTTATGGTTTCCCTCCTAATTTTCCCTCTTCTATTTCGCCAAACCCGCCAATATATATTTTATTTATTATTTTTTACTCTTATTTCTCATTAAAAAATAAAAAAGAATGTAAAACCACATAATTAACCCTTAATTTCATCAGACTCTAAACCTTCGTTCCTGCTTCTCCACTTTCGTCACTCCCAAATTCCATCTTCGACTTTCACTCCCAATCTCTCTCTCTCTCTCTCTCTCTCTCTCTCTCTCTCTCTCATCCAAATTTCCAAAATAAAATAGTGCAATTAGGGTTCTTAGCCATGGGTGAGATTTAGCTTTCTTGGTGTAGAGGAGTAAATTAAAATACCCAAATAGATTCACAAAGTAGCAGAATCGTGAGGTCCTAACTTCAAAATCGTGTGTTCCCAACATAAATAATTTTTAGGTTTCTTATGTTATGTAAGTTGCCCTATAAAAAATCGAGATCGTAGTTGTTGGGCTTCTTCGAATTTTACACCAATTCTCCGTTTCGTCTTAGTATCACTGTATGTTCTTTGTTCTTTTTTCATAGCAAATCACATAGTTTCATTATCTCTCGATCTATACTGCATTTTCCTGATGCTTGAATCCTTCTTTGTTCCCCCTCAAAATTCACCTAATTTCAATTTTGTTTACTTATTTATTGAGCATATTCTGAGATGCTATTTTTGTTAAATTTTTGTATTCCTTAGATGATTTTTCGGAGTGTATTGCAATGAATGTTTGATCTTTTGTTTCATGCTGTTTGGATTGTTATTCGCGGAAAAATTAATTGTGGCGTGCTGTTAATTCCTCAAGGAATGACATATAAATATCAAATGTGTGCGCGGAAAAAGAGAATTGTTAAAAGGAAGTTTTCTTAATAACTGAATGAATTATTTAGAAGAAAAGAACATAAATTTAAAGGGCAGAATCAGTTGATTTGGCGATATAGAAGAACTGGATTATGAATTAAGGATTCTGAAGGGTATGAAGATAATGGCTAAATATGTAAGATAAATTTTTGATTTCAATTTTAAATGCATTTTTTAAGAGAGTCTTTGGTTTATTCAGTAGCTATATTTAGAAGCAAGTTTTTTGTTGGCAGATTCTCTGGAAAAGATTGATTCCTTGAACGTGTTCATACAATTAGTTTCTCAGTTAGCATCAATTGCGAGAAATTATTGTCGCTAAAGGCACACTGTGAAAAATCGCTACCCGAAGAAGTTGTAAGTTCTTGTTTTCTAATTTAGCTATTTTTGGTTTTTTTAATCATTTTTCTGTTCTTTAATATTTTGGGTATAAGTGGTGTATATTGCTTTAGATTTATTATTTGAACCAAAATTGTTAGATTTTTTACCATTAGGGTGTTTCTAGCATACTGTAAGATTTATCAATTAGCAATGATTCATTAACATGTATTATTTATGTTATTGCACTCGTTCCGTTTCATACTCTCACGGTTACTTGGTCTTTGTTGCAAATTGCAATCTTTGTTATGCTATAATAAACCAAAGAAAATTCAAATAAGCAATTAATAGGTGGGTATGTTATAAGCTCTTTGTTTCTTGCTCTTTAACAACATATTGCGTGATTGTTGTTTTTTGTTTTTTGTATTTCTCCTTTTCCTTTGAGGTTATAATGTATGCCTGTATGGATGCTTTCGAACAATATACCGACGTTATGTTCTTCTTTGATCATGTCAATAACTTAATTAAGTTTACGGTACTGTTAATTTTTACATAATTTATATCATTGAACTTGAAGTTAATTTGCTGTTGTAGCTTAATCAGAGCATTGTCAGTTTTTAAAGTTAGTTTCAAGTCTAATCTTCAAACCGTTCTTTCATTTGTTGTATATAAATACTATACTTATATCATATACATTCTCTGGTATACCATTTGAGTTTTTTAGTTTCTAAAACTGTTAATGTTCTGTTGAGTTCTTCCATTGTTGTGTTTCCTTTCTTTGTGATTTTTCACTTGTTTGATAATCCATAATAAAGGTCATGCCAAATACACATTTTTATTCAATATGTAAGATAAATTTTTGATTTCAATTTTAAATGCATTTTTTAAGAGAGTCTTTGGTTTATTCAGTAGCTATATTTAGAAGCAAGTTTTTTGTTGGCAGATTCTCTGGAAAAGATTGATTCCTTGAACGTGTTCATAAAATTAGTTTCTCAGTTAGCATCAATTGCGAGAAATTATTGTCGCTAAAGGCACACTGTGAAAAATCGCTACCCGAAGAAGTTGTAAGTTCTTGTTTTCTAATTTAGCTATTTTTGGTTTTTTTAATCATTTATCTGTTCTTTAATATTTTGGGTATAAGTGGTGTATATGTTGCTTTAGATTTATTATTTAAACCAAAATTATTAGATTTTTTACCATTAGGGTGTTTCTAGCATACTGTAAGATTTATCAATTAGCCATGATTCATTAACATGTATTATTTTTGTTATTGCACTCGTTCCGTTTCATACTCTCACTGTTACTTGGTCTTTGTTGCAAATTGCAATCTTTGTTATGCTATAATAAACCAAAGAAAATTCAAATAAGCAATTAATAGGTGGGTATGTTATAAGCTCTTTGTTTCTTGCTCTTTAACAACATATTGCGTGATTGTTGTTTTTTGTTTTTTGTATTTCTCCTTTTCCTTTGAGGTTATAATGTATGCCTGTATGGATGCTTTCGAACAATATACCGACGTTATGTTCTTCTTTGATCATGTCAATAACTTAATTAAGTTTACGGTACTGTTAATTTTTACATAATTTATATCATTGAACTTGAAGTTAATTTGCTGTTGTAGCTTAATCAGAGCATTTTCAGTTTTTAAAGTTAGTTTCAAGTCTAATCTTCAAACCGTTCTTTCATTTGTTGTATAAATACTATACTTATATCATATACATTCTCTGGTATACCATTTGAGTTTTTTAGTTTCTATAACTGTTAATTTTCTGTTGAGTTCTTCCATTGTTGTGTTTCCTTTCTTTGTGATTTTTCACTTGTTTGATAATCCATAATAAAGGTCATGCCAAATACACATTTTTATTCAACTATTCTTTTGCATTTACATATTAAATTCTGTTTTCTTCAAACCCACTAATGAAAATTATTGGATTTGTTCTTGTTGTTGATGTACATTCTGTTTTCCAAAAGAAAAGAATCCCATGGGTCAATTGTGATCAATAAAGTGAAGGTAGCCAAGACACTAGATCTTCTGCTTCTCTGTCCATATAAGACTCTAACATATGCTTCTTTATTTGAACTTAGAAACATTCTTTTTATATTTACTGCATTTAAGTAGAAAGGTGTCTTATGGTCGATGTTGTTGAAAAGAGTGAATACGGAGCTTAACATATATGCTCGTTTCTTTCTAAGGTAGGTGCTCGTGAGTTTGTAAGAGTAAGTAGAACTGGATGGCCTGTTGATTTGCTAAACTCAGCAATAGGAGGTTTTGGCAGTGGTGCTATTCTTGGACGCCTGCAAGGTCAGATTTTCAACTCTCTCTATCTCTCTTTCCGTGTGCCTCTATCTTAGTAGTTCCTGTGCAAAAAGAGGCTACTGTGAACATTAACTCAAGATCTGGTCCATTCTTTTCAATGCTTTTAATCTCATAAGATCATGTTTTTACCTATGAAAAAAGGAAAAAAAATATTCAGTTGTTCCACCTAATTTTCGTTGTTGACAACCAAAAGAGCTGTTCCACCTAATTTTCAAATAGACAACCAAAGCATCCAAGGTTAGGATCTCAAGTGCAAAAACCAGTGCGTTAATTGCCACTTACCTCTCATGTACCACAAAAAGTACAAGAACAAGTACAACAAGTACCATTGGATTCTAGCTCTCCTGTAGCAACAAAAGGGCAAGAACAAGTGCATCGAGCGACACTACACTTTACAGCTTCTGCTGCACAAGCAGTACTGGAACAAGTGCAGCAAGTGTCGCAACGTTCTACAGCTTCTGCTGCACAAGCAGTACTGGAACAAGTGCAGCAAGTGTCGCAACATTCTACATCTTCTGCAGCACAAGTAGTATTGGAACAAGTGCAGCAAGTGTCGCAACATTCTACATCTTCTGCAGCACAAGTAGTATTGGAACAAGTGCCGCAAACGTCGCAACATTCTGCCACTCATGAAGTAATTGAACAATCAGAAAAACGAGGCAAGAATATATAGATTTCAATCATAAATTCAATTAGCATTAGTGATTTGGTAATTATCTCTTGTTCGTAACTATTGTAGGCTCTTCCACTGTAAAACGAAAAAGAGGAAGGACACAGATGCCACGTGTACATGGACGGAGTGAGCGCAAGTTGGTTATTCTAAGTGATTTGAACCAACCCATTGGTCCTACTGACGAAATTGTAAAAGAGTTGGGAAGTTTCCTCGGTACATTGGCAAGAAATTCAACCTTTTGTCCTCTGAATATACGTAACTGGAAGAAACTGAATACAAAAGAGGATATGTGGACATATATCAAGGTTTGAAGTTTTCATTGTTTCAATTGTTAGTTGATAATATTTCATATTTTTGCTCTAACTCAAGTACACCAAACTGTAGACAAAATATGACATTCATGATGATGGAAGAGAGTGGGTTTTTCAATCAATTCAAAATGCTTGGAGAAGGTACAAGTGTTGGTTGAAGAAAAAATACTATGACCCCTATGCCAATGACGAACTTCGAATGGAAAAAAAGCCTTCATTTGTTTCAGAATCTGAGTTTAAGTACCTTCTTGAATACTGGAAGTCTGATAAAGCTCAGGTAAGTTATAGACACAGTAAACTTGATTTTGGACAAAGAGAATGAGTAATTCTTTTGAAGTTCATTCCTCGTCTTGTCTTCGTGTCCAACACTTTTTAGATTATCAAAATGCAATAGGCAGAAATGTATTAGATGTTTAACAAAAAAGCTTACTTGTTGCAACAAACTTCGAAAACTAATACTGAGAACCGAAAAAAGTTAAAAAATTCACACACTGCTGGCAAAACAAGTTTTGCCACAATCCGCGAGGTTCGGTATTTTCTCTTATTTTTCATTAATATGAACTTTTTAACCTTACTTGGTAAAATTTTATGCTGACTTTCATGTAACTAGAAAACAAAGAAGGAAACTTCTGAGGAACCATCAAGTAAGGACATGTTTGTGGCTACGAGATCAAGAAAACCCGGTCGAGTATACAAGGAATCATATGAAGATACAATGCGCAAAATTGTACAAAGATTTCTACTTTAAAGCTTGTCGAGATTATCTTTTTGGTCCTAATTGTTAACTCAGTTTTATTTACTTGTATTTTCTTCTCTTAAATTTTATTTGTAGGCTGAAATGGAGCAAATACAAACTCAAGAAAGTGAAGATGATAACCAATCAATTGACCCATTTGCAACAGTCATGGGACCTGAACATCCAGGTCGCGTAAGGTTGTATGGTCGTGGGGTTACAAAGACTATCTTGAAACAAAAATCTGGAAATTCTGGACCCTCTTCAAAGACTACTGATGAGATAATGGAGCAAAAAATGAAGGAAATGGAAGAGAGAATGCAACAAAGGATGCAGAAAAACTTTGAGGAACAACAGGAAACTTGGCGGCAACAAATTACACTTAATGTTGTTGCACAACTTCAGCATATTAACCCAGATTTACGAATTGATCCTAATATGCTAGCATTCGGTGGTCGTTCACTCGGAGAAGCTTCCTCTGCACAACAAGCTGCAATTCAACTAATCAATCGTCCATCTACTGGCAGTACTAATCAAGGTGTGTACTTAATTATTGCAAAATATTGCATCTCTTCTTCTTTTTCTTCTTCTTCTTCTTCTTCTTCTTCTTCTTCTTTCACAGTTGACACATTATTGCTGTCGTTCTCTTTTATTTCTGGATTGAATATTAATAACATAAAAAATAAGGTCTGATGTTGCCTTATAGAGTATAAGGTTGTAATAAAATGAAAACTACATTAGTCCTATTACCACTGATATTACATTAGACCCTCGGCTCGCAATTTGGCTTGTGAAATTAGTATGTAGTTGAAATCAGGAGGCGTGTGACTGTGTATATGTGGAGCAGCACTAACCATAGGTTATGTTTGCCTTGGCATTATAGGAGACACTAAAATGCAGTATATATATATATATCCTGTATTTTGAATCAAATATGAAGTAGTGGTCCCTTAGGGGATATCCAATAAATGAAAAATCAAGAAAGGGCCGGTGTGGTTCCAATTGATGCACAAACTGTTGTTTGTTAGGTTTTGTAAAGGCAAATGGGTGTAGCAGATGACAAATTTCATCACTATACCTGCATATTGTAATTGGACGATTTCCCATGCTGCTCTATTTAGCACGTTGTTACAGTAGATTGAAACATATGTGAATCTGCCACCTTTGATGACAATTGTGTGTGATCTCCATCCTGAATTTGCATTTCTCTTTACGTGGCATCCCTTATGGAATATCATTGATGAGAAAAACATTGGGTACTGCTGTCTCTAGCCTATTCCTGGGCACCATGTCAAATTTTACTGCTGTCTCTAGCCTATTCCTGCTGCTGCTGCTTATATGACTGGGCAGCAGAGTGCCCTGCTTTGCCTCTGCATTTCTGGTTGCATTCATCAGTGAGTTTGTCCTTGCCTCCATGTCTTTGCCCAGCCTTAACTTCCTTCCTGTGGACTGAGTGCACAGCACTAATACCACCACATGGAGATTCATCAAATTACAGGGCAAAGACATATCATTATCACCTGCAAAAAAGAAAAAACTGTTAGTAAAAAGAGATGTTACCATGTTCTCCTCCCATAGGACTTGAACATGGTAGTGAGTTGCATAGATTTTACATTGATTCTTTGGTCTGTGGGAAGTTATATATAATTTTGAATGGCATTGCCCTGTGTCTGTGTGTTCGTAAATCCTTTAAAAGACTTGGCCTTTCATTTGTATTTGAATTTGAATTGTTAACTAGCATTTAAAGAGATAATGATTTTATTTATCCTCTTTTGTAGGTGGAGAAAATGAAGAAAGGGGAGATCAAAGGAATGAAGATCATGCTTAAGAAGATTTTTGAATTGTTGCTGAAACTCTAAATGTTTTAGGAATCTTTTGTTGTCAAACATTTTGAAACTTCTTTAATTTTTGGATTGTAAAACTCATGTACTGGGTTCTTAACTTTTGGATTATTAAACTTATGTACATGGGTTCTAATATTTTGCTTTTACGGATATAACAACTTGGATTGTAAATGTTTATGATTAGTTTTATTTTGTGATTTATATAAATTATTGTGTATTATAATTTAATGTAAATATTTATTTACTATCAGGGAGTATATTGTTGGTTCAATTAAACCGTTACAATAGCTTACCTCAACCGTTGCTATAAGTAACAAAAACTGTCTCAATTAACCATGTAAACCATTGCAGTAGGTAAACTAAACCATTGCCATAGGTACTATAAACCGTTGCAATAGATAATGCACACCGTTGCATTAGAACCTACTAGATTGTTGTTACTGGAAACAAACCGTAGCAATAGTTATTAAACCGTTGCAAAAGTGGCAAAAAATCGTCGTAATATCTTAACATAACTGTTGCAATAGAAAGAATAACCGTTACACAAACATATATTGCAACGCCTTTGAACCGTTCTAGTTGATTGAAAATACTCGTCGCAGTAGAATGATGAATAACCGTTGCAATAGATTGCTATAGGGCAACGGTTTTTGGAACCGTTGCACCAACCGTTGCAGTAGAGCTATTGCAACGCGGCCTAGTTAGACGGACGCAAAAACGTTGCAATAGATCTATGGCAACGGTTTTCTTATGTACTGCAACGGTTTTCTTTGCGTTGCCATAGGTTTATTTTCCAGTAGTGGAAGGGGGATTTGATGTAAGACAACAAGAGAAAGAACTTCATGGTATATGCTATGTACATGGCCCAAATGAAGTAACCTCCAGAAGAAAGGCCATTGGGAGTGTATCATTACCATTGAAGGTGAGCTCCAACAGTTGAAAGTGAATTTAGAGGCATGTGATCGTGCATTGATGGCTACAGGAGAGACCCGGGACTAGTGGATTTTGTCCCATTTCGACTACACATTATTCGTCTTTAAGAAGATGTTGCCAACGAAGTCCGTTGGGGTGCAAATAGACCCGGAGGAACTATAGAGGATGGGTTCGAGTGCTACTCATAGTGCTCTTGTTTATGAGCCGAAAACATCTACTACTATGACTGATGACTCTACACTTAGGGAGAGAGCCGATAGAGGTCGTAGATACGTGTGTCGTTGCACTAGAGGATCCAACAACATTGGGGACCGAGGTTTGAGATTGGTCTCCACTACAGCCAGAGTCTACTTGAGAGAGTTCTTGATACCCACTATACTTTTGATAGGTATTTGTTGCTTAATAGTTCAACGGTTCTTTCTCTCTCCTCCTCCCGTCTTTCTCTCTCCCCGCTAGCAATCTCCTTCTTCTGCCTCCTGACTTCCAGCGTCGGCGACCTCAGGTAAGTGACACTCTCTCTCTTCCCCGATCTTCCCCCACCTTCCTTTCTCCTCTCACCCCCTTCCTCCCTCACCTCTCCCCCTCTTCTCTCTCTTCTCTTCACCCCTTCTCTCTCTTTTATTTTTCTGTTCAGCGCCGGAGACCGCCCCCACCCCCACCCCTTCTCCATTCTTCTCTCTTATCCCCATAAACCCGTCTCCCTTCCCCCTGCTGTGCGCTTCCCCAACCCAACCCTTCTTGAGCCCAAACTTTCAGTCCCGGAACCCTAGCAGTGACGCTGGCGACCTCTATCCGGCGACCCTCCCCCTCTCCTGTTGTCCCTCTCTTGTTGTCCCTCCATTAGCGAATCTGCCCAGGTCCACGCCTGGGACAGCCCCCATCCCTATTGGATTCGTGGTGTTTGTGTGTAATTTTTTAGGGAATTAGTTGCGGCTGCCGAGGCAAGCACGGGGCGTACGGGTGTGTAGAGCGGAGCAGCTCCGGCTAGTGTGTGAAAGGTTGTGGGAGTTGGAAGGACGCACGTCACATTTCTGTGACCTCGGGTGCCTCAAGTCATATTTCCAGGTTCTTCCTATCGGGAGTTGGTACCTCCCACTTTCTTGTCTCTTTCTTTATGTAAGTTAATTGTGGCTATTTGGTTAGCATCACTTTAAGCATATTAATAGAATACTTATAGTCGCTACTGGGTTTTTTCTAGTTTGGGTCTGTGTTAGCATTTTTTGGAGTTTGCCATAGGTATTGCGGCTGTGGTCAGGGATGGTAGAGTAAGGCACTGCGCTGTTAGACTTTGCTAAAGCTTTCGAGCTGGTGATTGCGAACTCGACTTTTCCGAAGAGGGAGGAGCATCTGGTTACTTTCCAAAGTTCGGCGGTGAAGACTCAGATTGACTACCTTCTACTCAGAAGGTGTGATAGAGGGTTGTGCAAGGATTGCAAGGTTATCCCGGGAAAGACCCTCGCGACTCAGCATAGGCTCTTAGTGATAGACATGTGCATTCGGATGAAGAGGAAAAAGAGGCACGCTCGTGGACGATTGAGGATTAGATGGGGAGCTTTAACCAAGGATAAAGCCCACGAGTTGGAGGGGAGGTTATCCGCTATGGGTGCTTGGAGGAGTAGTGGAGACGCGAG